ATAAACAAAACAGGGTCTCACTACATAGTTCAGGTTGGCCTTGAACTCACTCTTTTGTTTTGGTTTTTTTCATGCCAGGAATCAAACTTGGGTCCTTGTGCTTTCCAGGCAGGCAGCGGAACCACTGAGCTAAATCCCTGGCCCCTTTAAACTATGTAAACCATGATGGCCTTGAACTTACGGATAGCCTCCTGCCTCAGCTTCCAGAGTGCTAGGATTACAAACACATGCCACCATGCCAATCTCAGCTATTGAGCTGTGCATACTGTTTGTAATCAGCTGATTTAGCATGCTCTTGTGTTTTTTGAAGGAATTGATTCTCTCATTCTTGTACATTTCTACCTTGGCCAATAAGATAGGTGTGTCTGCCCAAATTGCCATCCTTCTGGAACTTTTAAGGGAGATGCTGCTGTCTTCTCTGCCCCCTGGATGAGTGCACGCTGTGATCAGTTAGGTGCTACGAACCCAGCACCTCCTGAGGTGCCCTTCTGCACTGGGTGGGAGGGACGTGTGTGGGCCCATAGCTCAGTGTGGTTGTCTCTCTGGATCCTCCACTGTCCAGGAACAATGTGCACACGAGTTACTGTACTAGTGATTGTCACATACATCACTCAAACTAAAAGTAGTAATAATAGGTTAATCTTTTATCTTGGTTTAATACATCAGATACTGAGCTACTTGAAGGTCTGCTTTTACATTCACTTGAATTCTTCTCACTATAGATGAAAATCATACTTCACAAGGGTAGTAAGATTCAAAGGGAAGAAGATAAAATCAAGTTACTCATTTTCAGTCATATTCCATAATTATACGAAGTTATATGTATATTCCATTATAAATTGCCATCATCCCTAATGTCAATCAAAATATGTTGTATTTTTATATGTAAAACTGGACTAAATTGACTGAAACTCTTTACTTGGAAGATTTTCAAACAGCCTTGTGAATTCTCTTTCCAAGTTTCAGTATACTTCATTTTTGTTTGTTTGGTACCAGGGATCGAACTCGGGTCCTTGTGCTTGCAAGGCAGGCGGTGGAACCACTGAGCTACATCCCCGGCCCATTATACTTCAGTTTTTATACTTGACACACATATCATTTTTAGCAATGAAATCACAGAACAATAGAAATACTTCAAATTATACTTGCCTTTTTTTCTTTCCTCTCGAATGAGGACTGATCTTAGGGCACTCTGCTATTGAGCTACATTTTAGTGCTTTTTATTTTTCTTCTTGAGACCAGGTCTCCTACCTCCTGCTTCTGACTCCCAGAATGATGTTTTATTTTTTATAAAAGGAAATTGGATCATTCATCTTAATTTTGGCAGATTTTGTAAATATTTTGCCACAAAATGCCAGGGAACCTCTCTGTCCTATGAAAATGTAGGCCCATTCTATAGATCGTTTAAAAAATTATAATCATGTACGGAGGCACACGCCTGTAGCCTGAGCTACCAGGAAGACAGCTGACCTTCCCGCACAGCTGAGATCTCAACTTAAAATAAAAGAGGTACAGATGTGGCTTAGTGAAAGCACGCCCTAGGGTTGGATATCACCGCTGAAAAAATATTGCAAAGAGGCTGTGCTAAATTGTTTTCGGTACTGGAAATCAAACTCAGAACCTTGTGCTTGCCAGGCAGGCATGGCGCCATTGAGCTACATCCCTGGGTGTGCAAAGTTTGTGAAGTACTGTTTGTATTAAAGTAACTAGGTCAGTGGTATCATGGAGAAATTTGTACAGGGTATCTCCAACCTTCTTTATAATGACTTATCACTGAAGATAAAAATGGAGTGGTTTGATTTCATGGGTAGAGTTAGCACTAACACATACCAAGACTGTCTCAAAGGGGGGAAAAACCCCAGAAACTTCCCATGTGGCATAATCTATCCATGTTATTTATATGATCTTTCCATAAAACTTTGTTTGCAGATTTTCTTTAGCATCTGTTCACTAAAGAATATATTTTGGAAGCTGGGCGCGGTGGTGCACACCTGTAATCCCAGCACTCGGGAGGCTGAGGCAGGCTGTGTAGCCTAGGCTACATAGTGAGTTCCAGGTCAGTCTGAACTACACAGTGAGACCCTGTCTCAAAAAAACAACAAAAAATCTGTATCTTAGCTGTTCTAACTAACAGAAAAGAACTATTTCCCAGTGGTGTATGAGTTGTTTTCTTGCAGCGGGCGGGGAGGGCGGGGGGTACCATTCATTATGAAGTAAGAAATGTCAGAAATGAGAAACAGCATTTCACACAGATGTCAGTCAATGCAGTGAGCCTGGTGCGCTGCGCTGATGCAGGGGTATTGGGTACTGTGCTAACAGCAATGTCATTACATCCTGCTGATGCCAGACCGCTAGTCACTGGGGCAAGAAGATGCACTTGCTAACAAAGTGCAATTAGTGTTCGTCATTTAGCAGCTTCTTGTTAGAGCTCATGAAGCTGTCATTTTGGTCACATATTAGAGCTAAAAGCTTGCACTGGAAGTAGGACAAGAACGAGTTCTGCCATTTTGCTGTTGCTTTTATTTCTGATCTTTTAAATCCTTCTGTTCTTTGCACGACTATATATATATATTGGCCAGGTTCTAAGAAGCAGAGCTTGAAATGGGAATTTTTTTGTTTTTTTGGTACTGGGGATTGAACTCGGGACCTTGCGCTTGAGGCAGGCAGCAGAACCACTGAGCTAAATCCCCGGCGCAATGTGCCAGTGATTGTTTTCCTAGCTAGGCTTTCTTTTCTGTTAGTGCCCATGCAGCACACAGTGGCCACACCGCTTGTGTGGACTTGGCCCACACACATGGAGCGTCTCAGTCCCTTCTCTCATCCCCTTCCCTCCCCCACCGTCGCTCCATCTCTTGATCCCCTGCCCCTCTAAGAGCTACTTCCCTACCTCCTATCACCTCCCTTCTGTCCTGCTCTTTATTTATATGTTGGGTTTCTTACACAGGAGCGACCATGTGATACTTAGTCTTGTGTGTCTGCTTTACTCTGTCTAACATTCGGCCTCAGGGGCATTCACTTTGCTGGAGTTTCTGCGTGGTCTGAGCTGAAACCTCTCACTGGGCGGGGGGTGACAGAAGAGGACGGGGAGCGGAGGCCCAGCGAAGACAGGCGGGAGGGGCGGTGCTCAGCCAGGCCTGCCCTGAACTTGCCCAGGAGCTCTGGAGCGCGGGAGGCACCGCAGACCTGTCCGCCTCGCACTCAGTCTGACCACAGCCGCCCATGATGAGATGGTGGGGCAGCGCTCCCACGCAGGACACCCAGTTCTGTAAGTTGTTCGCGGCCAAGAGTCACAGCACGTGGAGGGTGAGGCTCGGCCACCAAGTGGACTCTGGCCAGGGAACCAACACCTATTTGTGAGGTTGGTTCCATTAGAGCTAGACAGCATACCCGGTAAATCGTCACTGAAGCGTTCTACAGGGTCTCGGAATGTGCTGCACAGGAACAAACAAGTGGAGGGACACAAAATTCCTGCTCTTGTCCCTGGATGTCCCCACCTTACGTGACCTGCAGACTGGTAAAGATAAAAGTGCTAACCCACACACTAAATAACAGAAATTAATTTCCTGTATTTAGTTTTTAGTTTTTTCTTTTTTGTTTTTTCTTTTTGTTGTTGTTTTTTGAAACAGGGTCTCACTATGCAGTTGAGACTGACCTGGAACTCACTGTGTAGCCCAGGCTGGTCTCAAACTCACAGCCATCCTCCTGCCTCAGCCTCTCGAGCACTGGGATTACAGGCGTGCACCACCACACCTGGCTGATTTTTTGAGACAGGGTCTTGCTATGTAGCCCAGGCTGGTCTTGAACTCATGGCAATCCTGTTTCAGTCTCCTGAGCTCTAGGATTACAGGTGTGCACCACCACATTGGGCCTAACTTTCTGTTTTTAGATTAACGAAAGAAATATAATAGTCTAGGGTGTGGCACATACCTATAATCGTAGCACCTGGGAAGCTGAGGTGGGAAGATCTCTGTGCATTTGAGGCCAGCCTGAGATACACAGTGAGTTTAAGGCCAGACAGAACTATAAAATGTGACCCTATCTCAAAACAAACAACAACAACAAAAGGGAGACAGACAGAAATAGAAGTTCTAGTATTTTTTCCTAAACCTCAGCGAGTCACTCTGCACACTGCATTTTGGAGAAATCTGCCCCACTCCTTAATGCTCAGGAAGCACAGGCCTCCAAAATACATGAAACAAGGAGGAAGAGTGGATACAAGGTTGGGTAGTAGGGGACATGAATATGATCAAAATACATCACACACACTGAACGTCCAAACCACACGTGAGACTGGGGAGCACGTGTGGAAAGGGCTGGGGGAGTGAGAAAGTGTGCTACATGCACGTGCACACCTGCCAACCGGAGCTTACTATCTGCAGAAGTGCTAATGCACTGATAAAGAGATGTGGCGGAAATGACACATGAAATACAACGGCTTATCTGGTACCTCTCCCTTGCCCCTTTTAGCATCTTTCCTTACATGCACCCACCCTTCCCCATGTCTGCACATTACATCCGCACACTCAAGCCAGCCAGAACCCACCATTTCCAGGGCGCTCTCCATACAGAAAAAGTTCTCACCAATCTGTCAAACCAATAATGCAATAGAGATATGCAAAACAAACAGCTCACTGAAACAGAGAAACACTTGCAAAAGAAATCCAAACGGCTGGGCGTGGTGGTTTACGCCTGTAATCCCAGCAGTGGGAGGCTGAGGCAGGAGGATTGCTGTGAGTTTGAGATCAGCGTGGGCTACATAGTGAGTTCCAGGTCAGTCTCAACTACATAGCGAGACCCTGTCTCAAAAACAAACAAACAAACAAACAAAACAATCCAAACTGTAATACAATACCATTTTTTCATTTATCAGATAACAAAATAATTTCATAATTCAGTGTGTGGTGGGTAAAGTCAGAGAAGCAGATATTTTATGGAGGTAATTTTAGCAGTTGCTACCAAAATGTAAAATGCACATTCCTTTGACTGAACAATTTTATTAAAATAATATGGAATACTTCATGAATTTGTGTGTCATCCTTGCACAAAGGCTGTGCTAATCTCTGAGTTGTTCAGAATTTAGTACATGTGCTGCCAAAGCCAGTACATGGACAATTATTTTGGAGGCAGGGTCTTCCTAAGTCACTACATGGCCCAGCCTGGGCTCAAACTTGTCAACCTCCAGCCTCTGCCTCCCAGAGTGCTGAGAGTACAGACGTGCATCACCATGCCCAGCAACGACCGAGTTCTTTTTGTTTTGTTTCGTTTGCTGGGATCAAACTCAAGACAGGCACTTGCCAGGCAGGAGCAGCATTGCCGAGCTCGACCCGTGGCCCAACAACTGTGTTTCTAATGACCTATGAAGTGATACACTTGTGTACATACATGCATAATGATACATGAATAAAAGCATTTATTGTAGCATTGCTTACAATAACAGAAGGTTAAACCATTATGCTACATCCACATTAAGCAGAATTATAAAAGAATGCACGCTTTGTGGATGTCTATGAACAAATCTCTACACTGAAGCCAGGCAAAGTGCAGAACACGCCGCTGCACGTGCAGTGGCACACAGGCAGATCCGCCCTGGCAGGGAAGATAGGAAACTACGAGCGCTCACTATCTTCTGCAAGGGAATCTCCTGGGCTGAGAGGTGTAGAAGAAGAATTTTTTTTATTTATGTCTCTTTTTTTGAGGCAGAGTGTGGTGGATTAATGAATGGTCAACTTGTAATGCCCAGCTGAAGGGCGTGGAAGATCCCCGAGGACTGTTGCCAGTAACCATTAAAAGAAAACTGGAGGGGAAGAACATGGGCTGTTGGTCTTCTAAAGTTTGCTGAGGATGGTTTTCCTGATGCAAACTTGGCTTTTCTCGTGGGAGGAGCTCCGGGCCTCGCTGTCTCTGGGAACGGCTGCTATTGCAGTCAGGGGACTCTGATCTTCACCGTGAGCGTCACTTCCGGGCTCCAGTGTGGATCCCTCAGCCTGGTGGCGCAGATCCTTCACCCCACCAGCATAGGATTTCTGGCTTCCACCACTGGCCTTTGGGCCTTCCAGGTGTAGATCCTCAATACAGACAAGCACGAGTCGTTGCCGTGGGCTCTAGGGCACAGGCTGGATTCATGGAGGACTTGCCTTGGACTCTAAGCCTTCAGCTGGACGTGTGGGAAACTGCTGGGATCCAGACCCCCAGCAGGATTCTTTGGGCCTCTAATGTGTGGCTAATCTCTTGTACTCCCCTCCATATTTGACTTTTTCGGGTAAATATCATAAAATAATCCTGTATCCTGTATTAAGTGTGTTCCCTTGCAAAAACCCTGACTACAACACAGGGTCTTGCTTTATAGTTCAGGCTTGCCTTGAACTCATTATGTATCCCAGGATGGCCTCAAACTTGTGGCAATCCTCCTGCCTTAGCCTTGTGAGTGCTGGGATTTATCTGTGTCATTTGAACCATGCACTTGAAGTACTTTAAAAAAGAAGCAGGCATCAAAAGTGCAAGGTCCCGAGTTCGATCCCCAGTACCAAATAAATAAATAAATAAGAAGCAGGCACTGCTGGTGTGGTTCAGAGGTAGAGCTCTTGCCTAATATAAGAGAGACCCTGGGTTCGATCCCCAGCACTGAGGGTAGCCCTCCCTGCTACAAAGCCAGGAAGTGATAGAGTCCTAGTTTCCTGGAGCTAGCATTTTTAATTACTAATAAAAACGTAATAATCTAGCTGAAATCTAATCAGAGCAAATGGGCAAAGTGATTGGGGAAGAAGCCTTTGTCCTTGGAAGAGGGCAAGGGCAGGACTTGTGAGACAAAGGTTCATGCTGTCCTAATGCACACACACACACACACACACACACAGACAAAACCCAAAGCAAGCAACCAACACTATGAAGGGTATGCAGCACTGGGGAGGCCAACCTGGGCAACTCACTAACTCTTGCTCTTGGATTCCTAGGGACTGATGTTTTTAATGCCTCTGTTTCTGCCATTAGTTCCCTGACGATGACAAAGAAATGTGTATTTATTACCATTCTCCAGAGGAACAGAATCTATAGTATACATGAAATTATATTACACCTATGTAAGTGATTATGAAAGGATCGACTGGCTCACAGGATCAGAGGCTGGAGTGTCCAGTGGCTGTCTGCAGGGGGGAACCAGAGGATCAGGAGCTGCTCAGCCTAAGAAGTTGGAAGCCTTACATTAAGACGGATCTAGGGTGTCGCACCAGTGCAAGGCCGAAGCCTGAAGTTCCTTGTCTGGTTGCTGACATAACCTCACTGAAAGGCTGACGAAGAAGGAGTCTGCTGTCCAAGACAATCATGTCAGCGAGGCGCACCTGCTCAAACAGAACTGAACTGCAAAGTGCACACTGACCCTCCCCTCCATCACCCAGGCTGCAAGCCTACTGGGCAGGTCCACCATACTCAGGCAGGGCCGTCCCTGCTCAGGGTGCTGGCCTACTTGCCAGTTGTTTTGCAAAACCCCACAGACACACATAAGTGTGCTTTTCTCTTTTCTCCATGGGCACTTCCCCATATTATTTAACATAGATTACTAAGTGAAGTCAGCCTGCTCTGGTGATACACTTCTGTAATCAAGGATACGGAGGAGGCTGAAGCAGGAACATTACAAATTTGAGGCCAGTCTGAGCAATTTAGTCAGTCCTTGCCTCAAAATAAACTATAAAGGACCAGGAATGTTGCTCAGTGGTAGAGGGCTTGCTGACACGTGTGAGGCTTTTTGTTTAATCACTGAGACCACAAGCACAAAAAGTGAATCTGCTTTCACGGAATTATTAAGATCCCAAGCTGCTCCTTTTGGACCTAGTCCTACTTCACTGTCTGAAGGAAAGGCCGGAACAGTGACACATGCCTGCTGTCCTAGAACTCTGAGGCGCAGGCAGGGCATGGCAAATCTGAGCACAGCCGGGGCAACTTAGAGGCTGACTGAGACCTTGTCTACAAACGGGGGCTGTGCTCTTGAAGTCAGTCCTCAGCAATGAGACGGGAGATAGGATGGGGCTCAGGCTGGCTGGGTGGGGAGGCGCAGCAGGATCCTGGAATCCAAGCAGCACTGCCTCCCTGCACCGGTGTGTACAAGCTCTCACAGGTTCCCACTTGATGTTCGTGGCGTAACAGGGCCGTGAAGGGCTGTGACTTGCTTTCCTCACGGGAGCCTGGGCGGTGCTCCCCAGGGTGCATGGTGTTCCTGCCTTTATCCAGCCCAAATTCACTCTTCAGAGCCAGTTTCTTCCTTACCCTTCGCTTTTACTTTGGGGCGGGGATACCAGGCCCCACACTTGATAGGAGCTACATTCCCGGCCTGCACTTTTACTTTTTAAAATAAACTTTGTCACCCTTTTTGGTTGTCTTGTTCAATTCACTGCTCCTGATGAGAAGAACCTAGAAACTACCTCCGGAAGATTCCAGCACTCCAAAACCCAGTAATGATACCAGAGACAATAAGAGAAAACATTAAAAATAAAAGCTGAAGATAGCTCAGTACTAAAGGGCACCTGAATCTGATCCCCACCCAGTACCATCCCTTGATACAAAATAAAATATTGTAAAAAATAATTTTGATAGCTTTCTTGTAAAGCAGCTAGGTAGGGGAAAAGTCTGAGACAGAAGTGAGTGATAAGAATTACAATTTGGACCAAAAACAATGTACTGGGGCAACAGGGTGTGTAGTCTCCTCTCTACTAAAGAAAGTTGTTGCAGCTCCTCCCTACTACGCTTCTGAGTTTCCAGGAACTTAAAATCCAAAATTGGTTCCTGTTTTCTAAAATTCCTGTTTCCTGCATGCTGAAGAACTGGGTTAGAAGGCCGAGTTTCAACTGGTCCTTTTCAACCTGCAGAGACCCCCGTGACAGGTGACCACTGAACAACTGAGCAATTTCTGGGCTTTGTTATCCATAATTAGCTCTGGAGCTAGGGGCCATGCAGCTACCCATGTGAGACCCCTCCTGAAAATCAAGAGCTACCTTTCCACTTATATCCAATAAAAAGTCTCCTAGCTGGGCAAGGTGGCACATGACTGTAATCCCAGCACTCAGGAGGCTGAGGCAGGAGGATCACCTACCTCAGTTTGAGGCCAGCCTGGGGATACACAGTGAGTTCAAGGCCAGCCTGAAGGACACAGTGAGACCCTATCTCAAAAAAACCAAAAACAACAATAACAACAACTCTCCTAATCTCCTCCTTGTGGGAGGAGTTCAGTTCATATGGTAGTACTATGTCCTAATTCTGTTTTTTTTTTTTTTTTTTTTTTTTTT